GTAAAGCAAGCCAAATGTACAGATTCGTACATTCATACTACAAAAGGGATTTTTCATAATGCAGTTCCCTACTGTGTTGCACATCTGGTCCGTGGCAATATGGTAAAACCAGATCAGCGCGTTTGTTCCTCCAGAAAAGCTGCCTGCATTTCTGCAGAACAGCTTCTCCAAATGCTAAATCTACAGGCAAATTTATGCTGAATCGTTGTTATGATGGTCTATTTTCTTACCAGTATTTCATTAAGAATAATTTAATATTAAGAACTGTTTCCAAATCCCTACTCCTAATCTTACATCTCAAACTCTTGGCTATTTTCCTTTGATCTATAGTATCCTACAATTTTGCCCAATTTCTTTCATTTATTTACTTTATGACCTCAGCACACACCAGAGTAGCTGACTGCTTTCAGAATATGTATTTGTTTTTATTTGAGCAGTTTATTTCCTGTCTTTACCTCTAAGTGACTTAAAAGACAATACTCTACTGAATGCTAATTGATCATGGTCCAGCATTGTCTGATGTGCCACATTTTCCTTTCCTTTTTTATTTTCTGTCTTCAGACTTAAGCGCTTAATCCCAGGTCACAAAGAAATCTATGAAAGTAATTGCATTTTCCCTTTTTGTGCAGTTTTTCCTGCACATAGTTTTCTACAACCTGTAAAATTAGAAATTACTATGGAAATAACTGGTGACCTCACAGGTCAAAAGGTGACCTGGAACCTAATGGTAATTATATCACATACTGAACACCTGTCCAAGTAATACAGAGATTGCACTCATTCCAAGACATTACTGCATATCGGTTTGTTTGAAAGATGTATAAATATTCAGTAGAGCCCTTATCCCATCTTGTGCATGATGAGGTGACTATTTTATATTGAAGCATGCCCACTTCAGCACCAGCTCCTTCTCAAATGTCTCAGAATAAAATACCACAAGCATATTTCAGGCTTTTATCCTACAAGGTAGATGGGACCCAAACTGCATTTTAATAGTGAACAAAATCTATTTACCCAAATGGTCCGATGCTGAGTTCTTTATTGTAACCTTGCTTATCTTGAAAAGAATATTCAGTCATCTGACTGGCTTTCAAGTTTCCATGTTAAAATACTTCCACATCAGATAAGTACTGTTTTCCCTTCTATTGTCCTCTGACTTTCTTAAATTACCAATTTTTCAGATTTCTGGTCAAGAAACAGTAGTCTGTAAGATTACTGGTTTTCATGCCATTGCATTTTTGATTTAAAACAAGCTAGTACAGTTGTAATTATTGCAAAGTGGATGTAGTTCCTAAGGTTACATCCATGTTACTGAGCTGAAGAGGGCTCAGGCACATACTTGAGCTCTACCGTGTGATAATCCACACACTTTAACTGTTAGCCTGCTCTTTGGTGTGCTTTTGGCTGAGGCCAACAACCACTCAGGTAAAACACTACAGGATTTGAGGAATAGCATGGGTTAGGGATTCTTGTAATAGGGAGTACAAATGAGGCTACCCTGGCTCAGGAGAGCAGGTGGGTTAGCCAGGCACACGTGAGCTGTAGTTTGCTACTGGCTCTTGACTGGGCTGTGGTGCATTTTCTTTTTTATGTGACCTAAGAAATTAAATGCAGCCAAAAACTGGTAGAGAGACACCTTCATATGATGCCAATCTCAAATCTTCACAGAGGACTGAGCTGTTGGTATGGGTGAAGGACCGACCAGTGTTAGGCTGACTGTGACTTCCCCAGAGCAGGCAAATTCTCAGACTGTGAGTAGGAAAGGATCTTAGCTACCTTGTGCTACCTCCATTGAGCAGAACAAGGGTACAGAATCTGGAACCCTTCATATTATCAGACACTTTTCTACATTCTCAATTACCATTACTGTTCACTGTTTCTTCAACTATCTTTTCAAATAAATGATCCAATTCATAGACAGTGGTCTTAAGACTGCCTTTTATTCAGTATTATTCTGTGGGGGAAAAAAAAAGAAAAAATTGACTGCTCAAGAAACTTGAAAAAAATCTGCTTTCTTGTATTCTTTTAAGATTTTCACATACTTTCAGACTATATTAGCAAAATTATACTAATTAAGTGGATAATTAGGCTTTCTTAGATAGCATCACATGGTCTGAGCTCTCTTTCTGTTCTTCCTTTGCATGATGGCAAGTTTAAAGTTCTCCTTTCCAGTTCCACTTCCTTTTCTCCAACTTTATACTTCACTAAACATTTTTTACAGTGGATTCTCTCTTATTCTATTGCAATGTTACCCTGAACCAGCTTTTTGCTATTACTCTTCAAAATCATTCTGTCAGTCTTTCTGTCAGTGATTTTCGCAGTATGTTTACACTTTTTCTGGTCTTTTTATTGTATTGTACAGTCATAAGGTCTTAATGTTAGATCTAGTATCTCCTTTTTTCCTGATCACTATCAGATTCAGTACTGAATTAACTCTCATTATTTCTTCCAGTTGTTTTAAGTACGGTACAAAAATCCTGTAACCTGTTTTGAAGCACCTCTTGCACAGAATTCTTTTTTTACAGCCTTTTATACATTTCCATATATATAGCAATATATGTATGTATAACATGAATATAATACATCTGTATATATATATATATGATAATCATGGAGACCCTCATAGGCCTAGAGAAAGTGAAACGAATCAAACCTTCAATACAATCTTCATGGATTTTGCTTCTTCCATTTTCCTTTGTGAAATTATTTCTGTGCCTGCCAGCCATGTGATCTGCAGAATCTGCAAGCAGGGTGATTGTTTTATAAATGCTATTTATGTTTCCCTCACCTTATATTCTTTATATAACTTCAGATAGCTATATTCTATTTATGTCTTAGCCAGGCCTGTTTCTAATGCAATCAAAGAACAATTCTTGGAATTTGTAATGGTATTACATCTCTCAAGACCATCAGTACCTAAGCTGTATTTATGAACAGAAAGACCTATTTTTTCATTATTATTTTCTGCAGGACTTTATAGATTATGTTTTCACATCTTGATGTAGCAATTCACTCAAATTTATTCTCCTCTGGCAAATGTTTCCCTACAGTTACACTTACTCACTTGCTGAAATATCTTTCCTGTTTTGTTAGTACTTTCAGCGATGTTTTCCTTGCTGTTCCTAATAGATTTAAAAACAATGACATTTTAACTGATTTTTAAAGTGAGATTTTATCACTCAAAAATCTCAAATCAAAAATACACAAAGTTGAGTGTAGAAATAATCTTATCATCAAACTACAAGTCTGAATTTTAGATTAGCAGTATTATCAAAAAAAGCAATAGTTTTGTGACTTAAGCTACACCAATACAGTACTCTCAAAACCAGTTTTCTAAAACTGTGCTAAGTCAGTTTGATGTACTTCCTTCTAACAATAACATGCCATTGTTAAAATTGTATTATTTTTCATGATGAGCAAGGCCTTAGTCCATAGTAACTCTGCTGTAAAATGAATAGTATTAAGTCACAGATTATTTCAGGATCTGTGTTGCCTTATATTGCTAATAGAAAGGACAGATCTTCAGCAACCAGTAGTGACTTAAATGTATGCTGCCAATGTGCATCATTTGAGGGTATACTGCAGAAAGCCCCATCAGGTTTTACATGGGTTTTAATATTCTTTTGCTTTCTATGGATAATTTTCATATAGTTTTTCTTTATAAACTTAGTTGCAGTCAATGCAACTTAATTTTAGCAAAAACTTACTGCTTCTACTGTTCAACACAAACTCCTCATTGGTGTAACTATTTTAGAGATTCTGAATTCCCTCTGCTTTCTAATCATTGTCTGTAATGTCATCCTCATGCTCAGTACACACATCTGGCAAAGGTGTTTTGTTAATGGCCTCCAAATTATGCAAAGTCCTGCAGGTAACTACACTAGTTAAAAACTTCTGGGCACCATAATGACTCTCACTCACACCTCCAATAATTTTCTAGTGTATTGCTATTTTTAGTGCCATTATTTTTGCCTATATTTTACACATATAAAGTGTATATGTGGACATATACATAAACAAAAGTTCTGAACATCGTTTTTTATGTTTTATCATGGCATTCATTTTACTGCAATCCAAATAATTTAGATTATCTAAAGAACATTTAGTATACCTAGTAAAATAGGTAGGTATCTATCCCATAAAAACATTAACTATTATTCAGTATTTCTGCTACAGCAGAGCATGATTTTCAAAAATTCTTCTGATTTTATGCATGTATACATTTTAGTTGTCTTTTTAAAAAAATTCTATCTCCTTACATTGCTATCAGTACAAAGCACTCTTTTCCAAGTGCATTTTTCTTTATATGCAAACAAAACTGAAAACGTTTGCCATACCATTTATGAACACAGCATGGTTTCATTCATGCTCTTTTTAAGTTAGCATTCCTATATTGAACAAGTACCATAAGTCTTTATTTTTACAGGAATGTTTATCTCTGTCTATAGTTACTATTCCATTGATGTTGGAAGCAAGGTACTTTGATCCTCTGAAGGCATATGTATCATAAAAAAACCCTAAAACACTGTCATGAATTGTTAAATTTCTTTTCTGCTTTACTGGAAGTCCTAAAATAGCAGATCCATCCAGCATTTAGAAGTAAATATATTCTTAGGTATATATGATCATGCTCAAGGCAATATTCTAGGCAAATGGATGCAAACATATGAGAAAAAAGGGATCAGTATTGGACCAAAAGAGTTAGGAGAGACCAAGGTAGAAAGGAACCACAAACTTAGGTTAACAAAAGGAACAAAAAAAAAACCAGAGAAGACAGAACTCAAGAGAAGGAGAGATCTTTAACAGGTATAACAAGAAAATATTACCAGAGGGAGAAAGAAAATAAGTTGACCTTTTAAAAATTACTGAACAGAAAAAGAAATTTCACCTTTTAGTAAGTCAGACTTTACCAGTACGCAACTTTGTAAGTCTACCCCACATTTTGCAAGTGAGCCATGTAGGACTCAGTTGTTAAAATAAAGACTAATGCTGTATTTTATTAAATTTTTATGTCTTTAATATGGATTTTATACTCTTCACATTTAATTTTACATTTCTACAAACATTTTTAAGTTACAATTACATTGGGAAACCAACACATTGTATATGAAGGCAGAAGAACAATATTTTTTGACTACTCAAACCATAAAAAAATCAGTGAGTGCCATAGTCTTCTTTTTCTATGTCTTCATTACAATATTATCAGTCAAGAAAATACTGGTATCAGCATCAAAGGAAGAGCCAGCAATCTTCCACATCACAAGTTAGGACAATATTTTCAACATGGAAAGTAGGATTGTCAGAGAGGTAGCAAGTGAAAAGCTTCAGAAAGGGTGGCAGCTGTAAAGAGTCAGAAAAAAAATTAAAAAAACAGGAAAGATAAGATAACAAGATGAAAAGGACAGGAAAAAACAATACACAGGAAATGGCAACAGCAACAATTGTGTTTATTCATATTAGAAACAGTAAAAGAACACTGACAGAAAAGTTGAGGAATAAGGCAGCCATTCTTAGAGAGGTCTAATGACAAGATCTACTGTGGTATGCCATGCTCAGTTATTTCTCAATGAAGGTGACAGGCCAGTCACTTAACTTTTAGTTTGAACTAGTCATTTCAGAGCAGGATTACTGTGAATTCAGCAAACTAAAATGGGCACCTCCAGAGGGCGATTCATCCCATCCTAAGATCTGAATCTTAGACTCTGAATCACATATTTGAAATGTAATCAATGTTCACTAGGTATTTATGAAGCTAGCATTTTATCTTCAAGATGAATATTTATGGATAATAACATCTGGATTAAAATAATAAGTGATTCAGCATATTTTCAACTTCCTTTAATGTGAACAAAGAAAATTTACTAATGACTTTCATCTGCACAGAACATGTAATAGGTTTGTGCTGCAAAATATTTTTTACTACCGAACAATACTTGTGTGAACTACACTGAGCACAAAAATGAAATCTGACCCCATAAAAGGAAGTTTGCTTTTCTGTTAGAACTAATTATATACTACTGGGCTTTAAGTTTATCTGCTGTAAATAAAAAATTAGGCTTAATATCACTGGGATTCTCTATTCCAAAATTTAAGACACAATTAATTAAATATCACATTTAACTGATACTTAAAATAGCATAGCTGATATTTCAGTAATTTGTTACTGAAGACAGTAAATAGTGCTGTGAAAAAATGCTGAAATCCAATGTCATGGTAATGGAGACATATTATAATGGTTATTTTAAACTAACTATAATTAAATAAAAGAGTCATGGGTGAAGGGCTGGTTTTAAAGTTGGTATACAGCCCAGTCTGTGGAGAAAACTTCATTGTGGAACTGGTCTGTGGAAACAACCTCTTCATACCACCTTCACCAGCTTGCCAGGCCAGATGCAAAGCCAAGACTGTGTGCTTACAGAACAGCAGTACCAAAGCATAAATAATCAGAGAATGGGATGGGAAAGTGAGCTTTCCTTCTGGGCAGTGATCTGGGGGCTGGAAGACACCAAAGGGACAGCTCACCGTTGGCACTTCCTTGTCCATATGGAAAGTCTGAGAGACATAGTCCTGGGACTGGAGTGGTCTTCCACTAATAACTATTTCAGAATACAGTCATCTTGATACTGCCTATTACATGAGGACAACACAGAGTTGCCAGTTACAATGCAATTAAAAGACATCTTTAGAATCTAAATATACTTGAAATGGAATTTTGTACTGAACAATTTATATGACCTAAACCATTTTAGAATCACAAAACATTAAATAATGTAACATCAATGCAAAACAATATAACAGCAAGGGCTTAACCATAAAACAGACCAAAAAGTCTCTTATTTAGAACTTCTAAAATTTTATCTGCATTTAATTTCATTTTTTTTTAGAATGAAGAGTACAGTTATGTTAGTTTTTCTGTATTCATATATTTACTGGGTGCCCTTAAAAAGTGCTGCCCAGTGACACAGACATGGCATAGGAATGGGAACCCTATCACACAGCAATTTATAGCATAGTTCTGATGCTGACCTATCTCTATCAGCAGAAATTAATACACTACATTCCAAAAAGTAGATGTTACCATTCCAAAATAAATTGTGAAGTGGCACCATAAGGCCTCTCCCTGCCCCACCCATTTTCACTCTCTGTCCCCCTTTAGAGGGGGTGTAATTCTGCCATATATCAGCTCAGGGCTCAGTTACACTGAAGTGTTGCTCAGGTGAACAGTTAAAATGTTTTACGCTTACCATTGTGTGAATGCACAAAAATGGGAGATCCTTATCTCTGTCATTAAATGGTTCTTTGCATGATAATTATGAAGACCAGTTACAGTCACTATGAATATTTGTTGATTGCTGAGTTTAAAAAGTATAAGATTTCCCTAAACATATACTCTTGGTATAGTACTATATATACTTATGTGAATCATGCAGAAACCAAGTACATCCATAAACAGATTACTGAATGAAACTTTTTTTTGCAATTTCCTAATTTATTTTATTTTATTACAGCTTACAGATGAAATCCACACTGGTGTCTAACCTGTAATGAGTGCCAATGTAAGTAACCCATTGTTCTACAGCTACATTTGGTTATGAATTGATTGACTTTGCTTAATCCTACTGAGTAACAGCTAATAAGCAGGTTTTATTTTCAATTTCAGTATTACTACAATTAGGTTTTACACAGAAATTCTGACCCTCTTTACTGTTACTGCATGCCTGCTTTTGCCTTTTCCCAAATGCTAGTGACTAGAATTAACAGAAACATATATTTTAAAAATGGTTTTGATTTTCTTCATGTCTACAAGTGGGGTTTTTAAGACTAACTTGGGAAGACAAACATTGGGGTAGTCATCATTTCAGCATGAATTTTCTGATTCAGGTTGGCCCTGAAAGTCAATTTAAAGCCTTCCTTAGAAGTGACTGTGCTAAAATAAAAATGCACAGGTAGTAAAGTACAGCTCAGAACAGCAGTTAGAAAGCTGAACTCTCACTCTGTTTTCCATGTAAGCACAAAGCATAACATATCTGAGCACTATATAAAAAATATTACTGGAAATACTCACCTGACTCCTCTCTTTCATCCTATTATTTCTCCTACACTCATTAAGTTTTTTTCATCTTTCCTTTTGTAAAGGAGAATAAGTTCCTTCTCCCCGTTTCAGTTTCTTCCTTTGCTTTTTCCTGCTCACCTGCACAGTTTCTGGAATTCCAGAATTTAAAAGAGCTATGGATCCAATCCTGGGGTTAAATACCAAATTCTGAAAGTTGTAGCATGGATGAAGATCAATAACTTAAATTTCAAGTGTTTGTGTTCTCTTACTTCCAGCAAAGATATAAAAACACTGGAATAAAGTTCAGCAATGAATCTATTTAGATAACTGTAACCTTTGGATGAGATCATCATTCTGTAAAGAGCTATGCTCATACAGCAAAACATAACGATTTCTATAAATTTGAATAATATCATTATCTCTGCTACCTTCTTCTCATGTTTAGCTGTTATGAGAAGGGCATGTCCATTTCTCTGCTTTAGTGCCATTCTAAATGATGCACACAATGCTTCAACAACTTAAATGATTATTATCTTTAAATATTTATAACCACCTTATTATTAGATATTTAGGAGATAAAAATAGCGAGAGCTAAGACTACCATCTTGTACACAAATATAAGTATTTTCTATCCTGTAACAATTAATAAACAACATTTATTACCTGCATCCATGACATAGATTTTTAAATGCCAGGTCTTGTAAACACAAAATCCATCTGTATAGTATTTTTTCAAAAAGCTTAATAGCCATAATATCAAATGTTGTTTCAAACACAGTATCAACATTTGATGTTTCATTGACACAGTAACAGGAAGCCAGCTCAGTGTAAGTTACTTTGTAGAAGATAGTGCCAGAACTTCAAGGTGTAACTTCTCAGGAACCATGAACTCCGGCAGTCTTTAAAGATAAAATGACATATGACAAACAGTAAAAGTAAAGCAAATTTTAGGGACCAATGTTGACTAACTAAAAGAATGATCTCTATATCCAGTATCCGATCAAGAGAGAAACACAAAAATAGTTTCCTTTTAAAATAACATACCCTCTTAGAAAAAAAAAACAAACCAACCAACACCCCCCACCCCAAAAGTGCTTTTTTTTTTTACTATTGTTATGGTGATCTTGGTACATAATCTATTTGTATAGTCATGTGCTGACAGGATTATTAATTACTGAGTTCCAAGCTTGAGCAGAAATCATGTATCTTGTTAGCTAAGTTTAGTCATAGACGTAAGTGTGCAATCATAATCAATATTGAGAAGGAAAACTTTTAAATAAAAGCTGAAGGCTTATGAAAAGATCAGTGCCAAAAAAACCCCACTCCATTGAAAAAAACCTTTTCATTTAAGGGGGTGTTCTATGACATTACTTTCAGTCTTTCTGCAGACTCTTTAGTCTTCATAAACAACTTTTTAGGGATTTGTGAAATAATAATTATGAAAAGCAATCCCACTGTCCATAAACTTCAATTTAACACCAGTAGGTGTAATAATCCAGTGGATTAATTTATTGTTAGAAAGATCATAGATCTCAGAAAAATGCAAATCAAAGAGACCAGGCTTTAGAAATCCAAGACTTTTTTCCTGACATTTAGTAAGACAAACATTATCTAAAAGTCATAACTCATCATGTGGAAAAACTCCATCACGTTCTTATGAGTTACATAGGAAGGGAGAAAAGGAATAAATGAATCAGCAGATTTCGAATGATGGGACATATCCCACTTGGAGAAGATGCCAGCTGTACATTGTAAAGGAGAGAAGAATTACCATTGTGCAGCCAGCTTTCCACAGCAGCTCATTTGAATCCTTTTGTATTCACTGGTGAGACCATGCTGCCAGTACTGTGCTCCTTGCTACAAGGACATGGATGTGCTGGAGCATCAGAGAAGGGCAATGGAGCTGGGGAAGGGTCTGGGTCTCAAGTCCTATGGGGAGCAGCTGAGGGAGCTGAGGTTGTTTAGTCTGGAGAAAAGGAGGTTCAGGGGAGACATTATCACTCTGTACAACTGCCTGAAAGAAGAGTGGAGCCAGGTGGGGGTCATTCTCTTCTCCCAGGTAGTAACCAGTGACAGGATAAGAGGAAATGGCCTCAAGTTGTTCCAGAGAAGGTTTAGATTGGATATTAGGAAACATTTCTTCACTGAGAGGGTTGTTAAGCACTAGAGCAGGCTGTCCAGGGCATTTAAAAGACACATGAATACAGACACCACTTAGGGACACAGTTTAGTGGTGGACTTTTACTGTTAGGTTTATAGTTGACTTGATGATCTTAAGGGCCTTTTCCAATCTAAATAATTCTATTTTGTGATTCCTTCATCCATCTACATCTGCAGTGCAGAACTCCGCAGATAGGAGGCTGAAGAAAGTATAGTGGGACAGAAGACTAGCTTTAGATGTAAAAGATTTATAGGACCATTTGTACCTTTGCATGTAATTGTTCCTGGTGTAAGCAGGAAAGTAGGTTTTCCCCTTAAAAGGGTCATGAGCAGAAATTGGAGAAGAAGCTGAGATTCCAGAAGACAGGTAAGGGTGTAGCTAGAACAAGTGTGGTGTGAGCTAGAGTCAGACAGAGAGCTGTAGCCATGTTCTCTAGTAATGTGGCTTTCAACTGACCCCAGTGTATTTATCCAACTGTGATCTTTCCAACTCTTATTGAAACCGCTTCTTTGATACCTATTCCAAATTCTTCATTCTTATGCACTTATCCTCAGACCTAACAATACACCCCATCACTGCTTCTATGCTCATATGCCTTGGAGTCATAAATTCCTCTCTCCTGTTGCTCACAGGTAAATTCAGGAAACCACCTTTTCCCACAGTATAGCAGAAGTCACTCTCTCCTTCCTTACAAGTTGCTTTCTGATACAAGGCAAAGATTCCCCTCAATCTCATATTCAGCTTGTAGCTCAAGCCTGACCAAAGACAACAGCAGAATCATGTAAGCTAGCAACAGGTATTTAGCGAGATAATATAAAAACAAGCACAGCCCTCCTTATTTCCACATTTATATCAAAAGACATGTAAGAAAAACAGAACATAAAAAGGTTAAACAGAGCACCTGTCAACTTGCTTTATCCTTTTAAAAAAGTTATTGGCAGTATTTGTTTCTAGTATCTTGTTTAAATTTCACACAATGCATTACAGTGATTTTAGATCAGACAAATTATTTCTTTAAGATATTTTTTTAAGATATTTATACGACTTGAATACAGCTTATAGTTTAGTGTACCTCAAATTTGACACCACCACAATTCCTAACAAAAATACGCACAGAAGGTTGGAAAAGCTAACATCTCTGCAAATTACTTATGGATGTGCTTGTATGGTACTCAGGACAATGGGAAGTAAACTCTGTCAAGGGCAACTAAAAGCACTGATAATATAAATATTTTATGATGCTGGAAAATTTTCAATAGTAAGAAAAAAGTAATAAGACACATGACATGAGGTCAAAGAAGCTTTTTACAATGTAAAATTATCATTCAGGGAAATAAAAAAAGTTGGTCAAATATAATTGGGATTTTGAAAAAGTAACAAATGGGTAATAAGACACGCTAATAATTGTAAGGAAAGTTTATGCCCATTAATAATGACAGAATGGAAAATTCTAAAATCTGTTTTTCTGGCAATGAGAAATTAGGCTTTAATTCAAAGAAAGATATATATTGTAGTAGAGGAGTTGACAAGTTTGTTTTTGTCAGATAAGGACCCAAGACTTGAAAAATCATACTTACTTACCAGAAAATGAAATCTACTAGTTGGGAATATATATGAAAAGCAGGACCATTGAAGAATTTCAGGGATACTCAAGGACAATACAATGATTCAGAACCCTATACTTCTGTTACTGGGGAAGGCATGATGGGACAGAAGGATTAATGCTGCCAGACTACTTTTCCTGGCTCCTTTCTGGGCACCTTTTGCTTCTTGTGAAGAGAACAAAACATACCTAAAACTGAGAAGGTAGGGAGTGCTCTCTCCTTTTTCATACACTCCAGAACATCAGTTCCCACTTTGTTTTGAGCAACAGATCATTATCAGCCCTCAGCAATTTTCAAAAGCCACCACGCACCCATCTTATCAAACTTTTAATTGGAAACACTATTTAAAGCACAGTTATGGTTTAGCCAAACAGATGTTCAATTCACCATAGCCTTGGAGTCCACTAGGGATTTGCAGACAACAGCTTGGAAACCATTCCAGCTGTTGCAAAGGTACAATATCTTCTATTCCATTCCTCCCCCAGACCTTCTGGTTGCTGCATGAAATATTTCTGCTTTTTTATCTGATTTCCCCTGGAATTAATTTTAGGGCCTGCAACTGCATTTAGCTTCTGAAGTAGCAGCAAACTGGTATTTGCCATTGCCCACAGGTTAGTGAATGGTAGAAGTAAAACTGATCTGCACATCCATAATATTGGTACAGCTAGAAAAAGGAACAGTAAAAAAACATCTACAGATTTAAGAAAATGGGAATAGTATACGCTTGATTCATGTGGA